AGTTTCCAAAATAAATGTCATGGTTGTGAAATTTGGTACATTTTCATATGTTTATTTTTGACAGAAATAATTGTCTTATGTAAATCATAAAAGAACATTATTTTAACTCTTAACTTAAAACAGCACTTGTATTAAATTGCTAAAATTAATTTTAAGGAAAATTTTGAATAAAATATAGATAGAGAATGTTAAATATTTTTATCTTTCAAAGTGGAATTTTTGTGGTTTTCCCTATGCCTATGCAAATGGAGGCCAGAAGTTTTCCTTAGAAAGTTCTCCACGGAGGCCAGTCCTCCTTTAGAAAGATAACCCTCACGTACTTTAGAAAAATCAAATAAACCAAACTAAAACAAAATCTTTCACATTTTTTAGGGTTCTTATGTGCAAATGATTTAGGTATCTCAATTCACATTATCCAATATTATAATTTAAGTAAATAAAAACATGCTGAGTATTTCCATTTAAACTATCTGTTTTACAATAAAAAAATAGGAACAAGATTTTTTTTTTTTTTTTTTTTAAATCTTGCAAAACATTAAAGGCCTGTGTTTTAATCCATATAGTATTAACATTTTGTCTACTCATTTTTAATGTTTCACCATGGCAAGCCTATTCCTTTTCTGCTCTTTTTTTTTTTTTTTTTTTAATTACCGTATCCCGAGTTTTACTGGAGTCTGCTGAAGCCTCGCAGTATACATTATAATTCAAAACAATATAGATTTTCAATATCAACAAATTTTATTTTGAATAATCCACTAATTTGATTGATACTTAAAAATTACAGTTAATTGTTTAAGCAATTATTCTGAAAATGGTAATTTACATTCGATTTTAGGCAACACAGGCATTCCATCAGAAAACGTGATATATTGATCACTATCGTTACAAGAAAGTACTGTATATTCAACCATTTCAAAATGTGCAAATATAGCATAATTTCTTTTTGAGTGTTTGCACTGAGAGTTTCCTTCAAGGGAACCTTAATGGAACTCAGTTCATGAAAATTTGAAAAGTATTGAAATAGCTTCGGTATAATGCATGTCCCACCAGCGGTAAAGTCCTTGAACCCTGGTAGTTTGGTCTGAGGTCCGAATCTCACAAACGTTCTGGCTGCATGGGCGTTTTCATGGTTTTCCTCATGTGTAACATGTTAATATGAGTCAATTTCCCTTAGAAAGTCCTGCACAAAGGCATCCCTGCCTTCTGTGTAGTGGCTTAAGGCAGAACACATAAATAATAATAATAATAGTATAATGCATATACACTGGTGTGCAAAAATTAAGGACGAAGTCGAAAAATTAGCATATCAGCTGAAGAGGCAGAGCGGACAGAAAGACCAATCAGGAGATTAAGTAAGGTGATGTACGGTAGGTAGCACATGCGCAGATATGCAGGTAGACGTAATGGGGGAGTGTCTGAGTAGTATAAAGCATGTTGCGGTGGTGTAAGATCAGTATTTCTGGCAAAGAGATTGCACGCCGTATAGCAGTTAAAATCACACCGAGTTGCCGCCTCAGCGAGAAATGGCGAATAATCAATCTGTTAGACGACATCTGGATGCTTTTACCCGAGGTCGAATCATTAGGAAGTTGGAGGAAGGCCGCAGTGTGACAAGTGTGGCTGCAGAGTTCGGAATTGCTCACAGCATTGTTTCACGACTTTGGAGACAATTTCAGACTACAGGAACAGCTATCCGGGGGTTTAGTAGTCGTCGTCCACGAGGGACCACACCCGCAGATGACCGGTATATTGCCTTACAGGCCAGAAGAAACAGGCGGCAGACGGCGGGAGAAATCGCTAGACACACGACACAGGCGACTGGACTACCGATATCGCGTTTACCGTGGCCAGAAGACTGCACGGTGGTGGTCTGTTTGCACGACGCCCTGTACGGTGTGTACCTCTAACGCCTGCCCATCGGAGAAGGCGTTCTCTGTGGTGCCGGGAACACCGGAATTGGAGAGACAATGAATGGGGACGAGTACTCTTTACACATGAGAGCAGATTCAGTCTGAGTAGCGATTCTCATCGCATACTAATCTGGAGAGTGCGGGGGAAGCCGCAATCATCCCTCGAACATCATTGAAAGGGACAGGTATGGAGGTGGCGGTGTTATCGTTTGGGGAGGCATCATGCTTGGTAGTCGTACAGACCTTCACATCTTCGACGCAGGTTCAGTCAACGGGACCCGTTATTGTAACGAGTTTCTTCTTCCATATGTGCATCTTTTTAGAGGCGCTATGGGTCCACAGTTCCTTTTCATGGACGACAATGCACCATGTCATTGCACAGTAGCTGCCGAACAGCTCTTAGAGAGTGAGGATATTGAACGTATGGATTGGCCGGCACGATCTCCGGATCTCAATCCCATCGAGCATGTATGGGATTTTCTAGGCAGAAGCTTGGCAGCTCGTACCTTACCACCAGTAATGATTCCGGAGCTTCGATTGGCGCTGCAAGACGAATGGGCAGCAATGCCTCAACAACTCATTGACACCCTCATTCTCAGCATGGGCAGACGCTGTGAAACCTGCCTAGCAGTCAGGGGAGATCATATACCCTATTAAAGACCGGATGTTTCTTGCTGGACACCCATCACAGGGATGTTTTGGCCTTCAGTCGCATTGCGCTCCATGCTACTTTTTCAATAAAGCTTCTTTTTATCCCTCTGATTTCTCTTTTAGTATGTGTTGCTTACATTTCTCATGTCCTTACGTATTGGGGATCTTATGGTATTAAATGTGTTGATTTGGAAAGCTTTTGTACAAAGTTATATTGAAAAAACCGTCTCGTCCTTAATTTTTTCACACCAGTGTACTTTGCCTCTGTCTAATGTATTCACACTGCAAAGCTTTATGAATTGTGCAGAAAAATATATAATAAGAAGTGCAGCATAAGAATATAGTATCGACGATACATATCAAGAGATAAATAAAACATCTTTTCAGTACCAAAGATGTTAAAATGTTCAGTATTGTGCTTTCAATAAATACAAGTATGCTAATCTATAGAACTCACTCAACGTTTTTGCAATTACAACTATAATATAATTATAACCGTTAAAAAAACATTGTATTCTTATTAACTAGAATTATAATGCGTCAGTACTTGATGTTTACTGCACCTTGAGGGAGACAGGTTAATTTTATCTATGATATAAAATACTTTCCTTGGAAAACAAAATTTGTGGACATGATCATGTCTAAAAGAAACCTTTGAGCAGCAAGTATTGTCAGTGGGTAAAAAATAAGATCCTAATTAAACTTTGTCCACCCCTGGTGAATACACTTTCTGATATTGTCATTTGACAAATTATCTTTCATTTATCTTTAAAATTTAAGCTATCTGTTATTGACTAAGAAAAGTTCATAATGCATTGTAGTTAATTTATTGTTAAAACTACAACTAACACACCTATAATTGCAATTCTAATGGAATGACTGTAACAATATAACTGCAAAAACAATTAGATTTTTGGCTCAGCAGTAATCGAGTAATTGAGACGTCTTTTAAATAGTGCTAGTTCAAATCAGATTCGAATTCCGGCAAACAGTCTAAATGTTTGAACATCTCCATGGATTTCCTTCTGTGTAACATAAATACAAACCAGTTTCCTCTAGGAAATTCTCCACAAATACATCATTCTTCTTAAATGCTTAATCTCATTCAATTAAATAGAAACCTTTTTCTGCTTTTCCTCATGGATGATATGAATATGAGACAGTTTTCTTTAGAAAGTCCACAGAAGCATTACTATAATCCAAGTAATGTAACATTCACAGGCACAAAAGAAAATTATACTTTTATTGGTTTTTACCTCAAACTGTGGAAAATAGTTTGTGCAAGTACTTTCACTTCTAAGTAAATAATGCATTTTAACTATTTTTTGAAAGCATGTGTTTAATAAAAGACTAACTCTCAATAATATTTTTTTCAATGACAGGTACTAACCATTTTAAACATTGGCCATTACTAAAACCAGTTGCAGTGGTCATGTTATTATGGAGGCACTTGAAAGGCAGGTCACTGCTGCCTCCTATAAAGAAACGGCCAATTTACATCCATGTCTTATCCGGGATTTGAACCCGGGTCTTTCGGTATGGCAGTCAGGTTCAAGACGCATTTTCCCGTCTAGGCAGCAATTCATAATAGATAGAATTAGTCAAATGTTTAGAACACACAGCAGTTAAGCAGACTTATTGCAGGTCAGAATCATTTTTCTACCAGCTAAAGCAGTCGGTTGGATACAACTACGAGACTTAGTTTGATCCTTGATGATCCACTTGCTAGAAAGGAAAGGATAAATGAAGTTTTCATGATTTTTTTCATGTGCAGTATAAAACAAGACCAGCTTCCCTTAACAAATCTGTGTGTTGTGTTTACTTCATTTTTTATAATGCTGGCTTAATATAAGCCATTGAGTGAATGAAAAGCAGTCACTGCTGATTATGAAATGCTTTTCAGGAATACTTAACTGTCTGAAATTGCATATTACATTAGTATATTTTGTTATTCTCAGAAACACTGATTATTCTGAAGAAAATCATTTAACTCTCAACATATTTGTTTGATTTTACTAGTTTTCATCCAAAACTGTATCATCATGACATACTGTTTATTTTAGAAGAAAACACTGAAACAGTAATAATGGAACTTTTGCAGGATATTGATTGTTGTGTTCTATTCATTGAGTGTTCTGCTTTGCCATGTTTTAATGTAGAAATAAGGAAGTGAAGAAGTTCACAACTTATTGTTCAGAATAAATTTCAAAACAATAATGTGTAATATTTCTAATACTTTTGCCAAAAATAAATTTAATTTTGTATTAACTACAATAAATATATAGTATATTCAGTTTTAAAGCATGTAAAATACTTGTATACAATTGCTTAATTTTTTTAATATGCTACTCTTAAATAAATATGTAGTAAAATTCTTTGTTATACTTAAAATATTCAACAGTTTTTTAAAATAATTTACTGTTGTATCTTCCTACATAGGTTTGATTCAGAAAAGTTTACATACAGCTGTTAACCGGATTCTGTCCATTTACAGAGAGTATATAATTTCTGTCAGAATGAATTCTCCGAGCATGCAGTTATTGAGAACTGATGTCTTAGAAGAAGCACAGTTGCTCAGGTAAATGATAGTTAAAATATGTGTTAATTAACTAAATACGATGTCCATAAAAGTTCTTACCCAGTCTTCATTTTCACAGTTGTTGATCATAACAAAATTGCCAACTCTCCCGATTTCCGACCATTCTACCGCCAATGTGATTTACAACATATTTCTCCCGACTTTCATAAAATTTTTCACGATTTTTATGTAGCTTGGCTTAATACTTTACCTCCAAAACACCTACCTCCAAAAAGTGATTTTGGGCATCTGGAAAGCATTTCTTTTTCTTCTAGATTACATATAAAAGAAAAACCAACCAAAGTAATTTCATCAGTGAGAAATTATGGTGCATTTCTGCTTTGTGAGTGAGAGCATGTGTCAAAAAATGTCATGTTCCAGTTCTCTACTGAGCATCAAGCACCACTGCATGTCATCTGCCATATATTAGCCAATGAGCACAAAGCAAGATCAAGGTTGTTATTTCATTCATTTTGTTGCTGAGCTGTATGAGTGCACAGGCTTTTGAGAAATTGTTTAAGAAATTACCATAATTTGTTTTAGTTATGTCTGCGAAAAAGGTAATACTCATGGACTTTTCAGAAGTCGTGAACAGATGATTTTCCTTCTGTTATATCCTCAAGGAAAATTCTTTCTATTATATCTTCAAGGAACATTTGCGATGTGTTCTGTTTGTTGTTGTCATTTTTACTTCCTTGTACGAAGTAAAAAGGAAGTATTGTAATCGCAAAAAGTTTCAGGCAGCATACTTCAACAAAAATATCCATTTTGACCGCTATCGAATGCAATTTAATGATGTTTTTGCGTGACATCTGAACGTAAGGACAGAATAAAAGCCTCTTTTCCTCACAAAAAATTATAAAACTGCTTTAAAATGAATTCTGAAGCGAATTTTTCGTCGTGTCTGTACGTATGTACGTACACACACACGTACGTATATATCTCACATAACTCAAAAACGAGTAGCCTCAGAACATTGAAATTTGGTATATAGGACTGCTATAACATGTAGATGTTCACCTCGTATATTGGTTGCAATTAGCCACACCAAACATTAAATATATTTTTATATATATATCCACTCTGTTACCTGGCTCAGTGATCTCAGTTTCTTTACTCTTATACGTTTGTAAATTGTGCATTTTTTGCTTTAAAAATGATTGAATTATGTTGTTCTTATCTTCCAGTTAAGGTTTTTATGGCTTTAGTAAATTTGCAAGCAATATTTGTATAATTAATCAACAATTTAAAAGCTGTTTTAGGTGCAGTTAAGCCTAATTTTTAAATAACATGGCGGAAATGTTTGTTTATGTTTAAAACAGCAGAATAGTAGATTTGTTGCCAATCTAGAGAGACTAAGCTTCGCAACAACAAAGATAACATCTTCATTTATTATTGCGAATTAAATCATGGTTAATCCTTTCTGGAATTTTTTCGAGGAAATAAGTGTTTAAGATTTACTTCGTAATTTTTAATATAGATATTTTGAGTTTTTATGTATTTTTGCCTTGTCACGAAGTGAGAACTGAATTAATTGAATGAGAAATACTCAATCATCTGTGAAAAACTGTTTCTTTTTTGTTTTATTTGCATAATTTCTTTTATACATCGTTCTAGCTTTATTATAGTATTTGAATAGAACATGTGGCAATGATTAGATAATTCTTCAAATGATATAAATTTTGTGCATTCTGACTTATAAAATGAACAAAATATAATGCTGTTAAGTGAACCTAGCGCCAGAGTGTCACTATGGTAAACAAATATAGTGAATTTTAAAGAGTGCATTTATTCTATTGTGGTTTATGTGCTCTCAACGAAGTAGATTTAATTCAATCCAATAAGTTTAAATGAAATGCAAGAAAAAATGTGTATAATTTAATATTCCGTACAAGGAAATCATGCGTTGAGAAGTGAGAAAGGTATATTAAGATGGTTTGGATATATTAGAGAGGATAAATGAAAGAATATACATGAAACACGTATATTCTTTCATTTGGCAAGTATATTATAGACATATATTTCCAATTATACATATTTTTTAAACGATGAAATATGTAAATTTTGCCATTTTAAAATTTAAAGTGTGGATGGAAGAGTTGGAAAAGGGGTCCACCTTAGAGAAGTATGCTGATCAGATTTTGGACATTATTAGTAAAAACCAGAGTACCCTAATTAAGTGACTAACAATATACCTACCTATATAGTTTAAATACAATATACCTACCTATATAGTTTAAATTTAAAAAATGTAGCTCGCTAAGGAGATTTCAATCACTGTTGATAATTGGCTCTGTTGACTAATGACTAATGAGTTTGCAGACCACTGGTCTAGAATAAGCTTGGTGGTACCGACAATTCCCCAAAGTAATGCTCAGTATGAGAGGATTTTCAATGTTATTGCGAAAACAAGAACTTGATTTATATCTAATATTAGTAACAACATATTAGAAAATCTTTTATTATCAAAAGCAGGCCTACATGGCAATTGCTATGAACAAAATTATAAAGTTTCTTTTTTAATAAAAGCAAAATCTGCCAGTTTTTTTTCGGGGGGGGGGTTAGTGATGCTAAAGCAAAGTTTAAAGTTTAAAGAAATTAAACATTTAGCAGTAGTAGCAATAAAAGCTCCCTGAGATATGTTGTGCAGACATTGAAGACAATAAAAGATTTTGAACTTAACCAATTTATTAACAATATAATAAGAATAAAAACACAGAAAATAAATGTCAACAATATCAGAGTCTTAGGAAAAATATAATATAATCATGATTCATCAAACAATATTTTTACCTGGTCTCCAAAACACTGGCATTCTATACAAACAAAAATGTCCTAAACAGTAATTATGCGGCCTAAAAATAAAGCTGGCTACACATTCAATAAGTTCATGATGAATGGTCAAGAAAAACACCTGAAAATTTAAATGAAGTTCTTGAAAGCACTTAAAACAGGCCTAACCCCATTTGCACAAGGAGTCGCCACTCACGTATTTTAATTCCACCTTCATTGAAGAACATGGATGCCGCCCACAGCAGTCACTCATATGGTAGCCTCTGGAACCAAGGAACTTTATTCTGGAACAATCATCCCGCAAACCGGAACCAAGGCACTTTAATCACCGGACTGCATGCATCCTTCTGAAGGGGCTGGAAACCGCTCACTCAAGTGCCGGGAAAGCAGGAACTAGAAGGTTTGAACCAGAGCGACGCGAGATACTTATAGCAGAAGTAGGAATGACGTCATCTCATGGCAACCAATCAGCTATCGGCACGAATCGGCTTTTCAGATGACGTAACATCATGTTTCGTTTTTGCATTTCAATTAGGTTGAAACAGTCCGTTCTCAATGCAAACAGTGGCAGCAAGAAAAAGAAGTAGAAGTAACTACTATATTACATTAAAATAAGGACTAAACTAAATAAACATTTCAAGGAGGAGAGATGATGCAGTAAAAGGTTTAAAAATAAGCTATGTTTTCCAACAGTTAGGTTAAAATTCTGCGCATGCGCATAATACATTTATGCATGCGCATAATACGTTTACGTATGCGTGTTTAATGTATAACGGACGGTATAGTCTAGGCTAAAATTATCTATTTCAGTTAATGTTGCAGATTGCATTGTTCCTTAATCTTCTAATTAGATCTGGCTTATTAATTTTTGCAGACTGTTACAGCAATTTTATAAAAAGTAAGCTTGAACTTTCGATTATGTCAAAAAGAGTTTCCGATTCTGGAGCTGAAACAGTATTTACAAAGCGAAAACATGTTTCGATGTCCATCAAACAAAACGTGGAATTGCTGCAAAAAATGGATAAAGGCATATCTTTTGTTTCTCTAACCATTCCGAAATCTGTTTATCAATTTCACACTGCTCTGTGTGTGTGTGTGGGGGGGGGGACACTGCGGCACGCAATGAACTAGAAGTTGATCTGTCAGCACTATCCTCATCTTCAGGGCAGATGTTTTTATTTTATTCGGCTTATAAGTCCTTACTAAATGTAGTATTTCATCTCGATGTATTCCGTCTTTGATATGATTTAAATCAAATTCCTTGTCATTATAAAGATCACGAATACACATCAAATAGTTTACTGGTTGCAATTTTCTAATTTCCACTATGTGTAATGTATGCTTTACGCATTCGCGCATTGAAAGAAATGTTTAATAAAGTAAACAAATAAATATTAAGCTTTTTTTTTTGTAAATTTTGATACCCTTTAGATCATAATTGTTCTTTATTTCATAAATTATGGTTTCATATTTTTAATTTTATAATTTCTGCATGCCATCTTACCAGATTTAAATTGATGATCTATAATTCAGAAAAACCCCTAATCCGGAATCGCCGAAGTCCCGATGAGTCCGGACTTTGTACTGTATTTTCATTTAAGAATTAATAACTGAAGTTTCAGATATTAATTACTAACTATTTAAAGCTAATTGATTAAAAAAGACATATTTTTATCATTTAAAAAATCTTTTTATCTGAGAAAAATTTCCTGATTCCTTAAAACAAATCTCCCAATTTTTGAGTGTTCTAGGTCAGCAAGTATGTTCAATTATACATACTTTTAAATGACAAAATATGTAAATTTTGCCATTTTTAAATTTAAAGAAATCAATTTCCTAAAAATTATGAAATCTAACTTTTTATCCCTCCCTCCCATCTCTGTTCTTATGTTTAGAGAAATGGGAACTACTCATATATGCGCCCTCAGGTCGCCAAATTTCTCGCCAAAAACTCCACACCGCCATATTACTACCTAAATTTTTTGTCTACATTTTGAATTTTAAGCCTAAAATGTCTCCAAAAATATGGTTTTCTCACATGCAAAAGCCACGTTTTAAAGACACAAATTAAGCTGAAAATCCGAAACAAAAACAAAAAATTTAGATGGCAAAAACGTAAAGTTTCTAACCAAAAATATTTGACAAGAATCCATGTACACAGTGATATGTTTTAACTTAAAAAAAATCTACAAATTGCACATTCTAGG